GGGGGGGGGAGGATGAGCTTAGAGAACATTCAGCCTTCATCTTTGGGGGGTGGTCACCAACTTCATATCTATAGGAGGGCTGTGGGTCCCATCGACCACCAACCAGCAGCCGGCATCACAGATGCAACCTACTTGCACAGGTGAGTTGCTTTCATTCAGGCACCCAGGCTGCAGACACAGGGCAGTCTCTGGAAGGTGGGTGAGTGCAGACCTCTGAACTGACCCTCCTCTTTCTGGGAAGAACCCCCTGTACTGGTTGAATGCTCATAGCGGGAAGATCAGCCCAAGAGTGAACCCGACATGGTTTGACGGAGGCTGCAGGTGAGAGACACTCTTCCGGATTCCTACTTTTTGACTTTTTTTTCCAAGATAGTGACAGTATATTTGTTTCGTGTAAATGTGTGTGTGTGTGTGTGTGTGTGTGTGTGTGTGTGTGTGTACTAAAACAGTTTGTGACTGTTTCTAAGAAGTCACCTGCCTTGTTTTTCTTTTGGGAATCTCCAGACCCTGTTCACTGGGCTGGTAAAGTATCTCCCAGAATTTAGTTAGTTACAAGAGCAATTTGAGAGGTGTTTGATGGCCTCTGCATATTTACACCTTAAATTCTGCCCCCCCACTGGGGTTTATATGCATGAAGATTATTTTTTTCCCCTCTTTCAAAAATGGCTGTGTAGGGCTGGAGAGATGGCTCAGCCGTTAAGAGCACTGCCTGCTCTTCCAAAGGTCCTGAGTTTAATTCCCAGCAACTACATGGTGGCTCAGACCATCTGTTATGAGATTGGTGCCCTCTTCTGGCCTGCAGGTGTATATGCAAGCCGAACACTGTACACATAATAAATAAATAAATATTTAAAAAATGGCTGTGGAGAGTGACATATTGAGAACTTAACTTTTTTTTTGAGGGTTTCTTGTTCTGGTTGTGAAAAGAGGAGCCTGTGGTAAAGTGATGCTTCAATATTCAAATTTCAAGTCCGTGGGCGTTTGAGTAACTGAATGAATTAAAGCTCATGCCAGACACATCTCAGGTTCCTCCCATTTTGACTTCCCCCAGACACAGATGTTCGTGTCTCTCTTACTCTTTTTTTTAATTCGGTTTCAAGACAGGGTCTCTTTATATAGTACTGGATGTACTGGAGCTTGTCATGTAGATCAGGCTGGTTTTCAAACTCACAGGGATCCTCCTGACTCTGCCTAAAATGTGTTGGGATTAAAGGCATGTGCCACCATCTCCAACCCAGATATTGCTTTTGAATCAAACAGATATGTCAATTATTACTGGACTATGTGTTAGGGACCGATTGCATCTTTGACTGGCCGTATTCTGACACCTGTCAATTTCTGTAACATTTATCAGTTAACAATGGTTGATCCTAATGCTCGGTATTTCCATGTTGTGTCTATTGTGCTTTAATTTCCTTCCAACAGTGACCACTCTTATGCAATCGTATGATAAAGAGCAGCTGGGGCCAAAAGAGACTCAAAATGTATGGTTTAAAAAGAAAAAAAAAAAAAAGCCGGGCGTCGGTGGCGCACGCCTTTAATCCCAGCACTCAGGAGGCAGAGGCAGGGGGATCTCTGTGAGTTCAAGACCAGCCTGCTCCACAAGAGCTGGTTCCAGGACAGTCTCTTTTGTGTTGCCTGGTTTATGCATGTGCTCATGTGTGAGTTCAGAGATAGGCATCTTCCCCAATTTCTGTTCACCTTGTTTTTTTTTTTTTTGTTTGTTTTTTCGAGACAGGGTTTCTCTGTGTAGCTTTGGAGCCTATCCTGGCACTGGCTCTGGAGACCAGGCTGGCCTCGAACTCACAGAGATCCGCCTGCCTCTGCCTCCCGAGTGCTGGGATTAAAGGCGTGCGACACCAACGCCCCGCAAAGATTTCTTTTATTTATTATGTATACAGTCTTCTGTCTGCATGCCAGCAGAGGGCACCAGATCCCATTCAAGGTGGTTGTGAGCCACCATGTGGTTGCTAGGAATTGAACTCAGGACCTCTGGAAGAACAGCCAGTGCTCTTAACTGTTGAGCCATCTCTCCAGCCTCTCAGCTAATTCTCTATCACCCCTGAGTTTCAGACACATTCATAGTGGCACACATCTCACCACGAAAAGGGAGAAGGGAGTAAGAGAGATGGCTCAGAAATGAAGAACACTGGCTGCTCTTCCAGCGGACCTGAGCTTGTTTCCCAGCCTCTATACTGAGACTAACAACCCTCTGTAACTCCAGTTTCAGGGGGATGTGATGACCTCTTTCTTCTACACTCTGCAGGCACTCCATACATGTAGTACACAGACAAACATGTAGGCAAAACAGGAATACACATAATTTAAAAATAAATAAATCTTTTTATTTAATTTAAAGAAAGCAGTGGGAAACAAGCAGAGCATCCTAACACATGGCTCTAATCCTAGCTTCCATAGGCTAAAGGAGGACGGTGACCTTGAGTCCAAGTTCAGTCTGAGTCGCATAGAGAGTTCCAAGCCAGGCTGGGATTTAGTGTAAGACCCGGTCACAAGAAAAAATGAAAATGCCAAACAAATATAACCAAAGATATTATGTGACATGATCTAGTTTCAAAACAAGGAAGTATTTTTAAAAAGGAATATTAAACTATAGGTTTATTGCAATGCCTATGAAACTTCCAGTGTTATATAGAAGATAAACTATCACAATTAGTATGAAGCAAAGAAAAAAAAATCCCACCATAAATAGCTATAGAAAACCCCAAGAGTAAAAACAAGCTGGAAAATCACAAAACATGACATCAAATTACATGACAGAGCCAAAGTGAAAAAGACAGCTTGGCACTGACATAAAAAAAGTCCAACCTAAGGAGCAGAACAGAGAACCTGAATATAAAGGACAAAATTATGGCAACCTAAATTTTGACAAAGATTGAAGTGGTGATTTTAGAAATCATTTAAATGAAGTCATATTCTCATGGATCCAGAGCAGAATTCTAGAAGGCATTTTAAGAAGTACCACAAGTAAGACTCACATCAGTGAAAGAACAAACAACCAGACAAGAGACGTGATCTTCCAAACTATTTGGATGTTCAGAAGAACTTGTAGTGACATATTATTTATGATTTATTAAAGCTTGCCTGAGAATTCAGAAAGCAAAGTCAGTCACAAGCCACAGAAACCAGGCTCACACTATTAATCCCAGCATTAGGGAGGTATATAATACAGGAGCAAGGTCTCAGAGCAGGGACTGATTTTCCAGCCATACTGAAGACAGGAAGGCTCAGTATTGAGCATTCATTCTCCAGCCATGTTGAGAATAGGAATGTTCCAACCTTTTTAGAGGTAAGAGCTCTCTGGTAGCTTGGCTGCTTTGCTTCCCTGAACTTCAGGTTGAACCCCAATATCTGTCTCTGGGTCTTTTATTTATCACGTTATAAGAACTCAATAGGTAATTCTATAGAATGACTGCAGGCAGTCTGTCGGTGAAGAGAAGCCTGAAGTAGTAGTTTTCTGGTCCTGGTGCAAGAGCAAGTAGTTGTGAATGGACCACGGTCTCTGGAAGCACAAGTTTAAGGTCAGCCATGGTTTCAGTGTTCTTCACAGATGAGTTTGGTTCATCATGGTGTCTATGATGCCCCCACAGGAGGAGAACAAGGAGACCACAGGAAGGAGAGTTTTATTGGTTTTATAAGCTGCTTGTCTAGCTTATGTGCATATTAGCTGCACAATGAGAAGAATCTGAGAAATGTAAGTCTCACGGAGGCTGCTAGGTGAACCAGCTGACAAAACCTCCCGTATTTATGTGTAATCACAGAAAGAGAAGCTATTACATACCTAAATTTCTGTATTGACTCTCTGGATCCCCCACAAACGTTATCATCATTTATGTAGTGAAAATAAGATGAAATTATTTTTACTCCTGATCCAGATCAAAGTAATCGTGGACACAATGGAGCAATGATTAATGAGAACAAAGGGTCCTAAAGAAGGAAAACACATAGATATAATGCGATTGAGGGTCACCAATAACCAATTATGATCACGCAAAAAACTAACGCAGCCCCGTAAGATGGAGGAGACAGTACAGAAAGCCAGAAAGGCAGACACCAGGATCAGGATGCTTTGGGTGGCTCTGGTTTCAGGGGAGGTTCTTCTGGAACCATGGGTGCTGCGGATGTGTTGAACCCTCTGCTTGTGTCTGTACAGAATGTCGATCATGAAGCCACTGGACCAGGCTATGAGGAAAGAAAAGAAGACTTCAGGACAAACTACAAATGTTGCATAGATCGAATCAGTGATTCCATCACTCCCCACAATAGAGCAGTATCCCAAATCTAGTTTTCTTGTTATGTTTTTGCTATTAACTTTGAAAAATGTGTGCAGAAAGAGAACCAAATTTATCAAGGTGTAGAAGACACAGAGGAGGAAAATGGAGCAGCCAACGTACTTTGCACCTTTTGCTTTTTGTCCTTTACAGCAGGATACCTTGTGACTGATTGTCATGGCCTGGAAGACACTCAAGAGGCAGGTGATGCCAATGGACACACTCCGCCCAAATCCTTGCGTGTATGCTAGGAGCCTGCAACCAAAATTATCCAAGATCTCCTTCCACCCAAAAACTGCCATTGTTTGAGGCACTCCTGTCGAGAGAATGACCAAGGAATTGGCTGCCATTAAATTCAGCAGTATCAAATCTGTGGGCTTGAGCATACATTCTCTGCCGTAAAGGACCAGATAGTAGATTATAAGGGAGAAATTTCCCAGAATTCCAATTGTGGTTTGTGAAAAGTAAATAATTCTGAGTGCCAGAATCCAGAAGTCCATTCTGCGATTCCGGACAATTTCCTTTTGTTGATGTCCTTGCTATATCTCTGGTCGAAATGAATAACAGCAAATGTTTGTAGCTTGTGGTATAAGAGGACACCTTTATACCATGGAGCTATGATGAGCTTAAGCAGAAGCTCATGCCATCTCTGGAATTCAAAGGCAGCTTAGAGGACATAAAAAGATCCCATCCCAAACATTTTGATAGAAGTAGTCCCTTTTGTATATGTTACCATGAAAACTGCTCAGTACATCAGAATGCACATATTAAATGATGAAACAAATTAATTTGCCTAGAAGATTCAGCATTCAGGACAATATGATGTTGGCCTGTGAAAAACAGTGAAAAGAGACAGTCCATACAGACGAACATAGTTCCAAAAATACTCCTATTTCCTAGTCCTTATGTAAAAGAAGAAAATTCAATAACACCCACATAACTTAACTATGTAGATTCCTATTGTATAGCTTACCTAAAATTAAAATATAAGTAATGAGAAATTCTTAATACCACTCAATATATCTATGGTCTTGTGACAGAGCAAATGTTCTTCCATATTGTCTAAGGTGGAGCCATTTTTGGTTTAACTTGAAACTGACTCTCCATTGCATATCCCTCAAGGAATAGTCTCTTGGAAATGAACCCAACCCTTTTCTAGAAACCTGTGGTAGAAATGTGTAGGTAACTGCCTGTTTTTGTATTGTGTTAAATTGCTTGCTTTCTTTACTGACCCCTGCCAACAGAAAGTGAGGATACAGTTTTTCTGGTTCTTTCCCCTTGACAGCTCTGTAGGACGCATTTGAGGCAGCTCTGTGAGAAGTGTTTCTCTTCAGGCAGTTGTTTAATGCTGACTCTCAATTTGGACGTTGATGTTCTCAATAGCCTTTGGGTCTCAAACCTAGAATTATATCAAGATAAGAGAAATTACTATGAAAACAAATCACGTAGGAATGATGATGGCTCATGTGACAACTGTCATCAAAATAATTTAAGAGTTGCCTCTGATGAAAATTCACAGCACGGAGGCAAAATTTGAATATGTGAACACATGGTTAGGCCTGTTAGAGAGTTCCAGAATGCTAGTTTTATGAAATCTCACAGAATGTACAACCAAAAAAAATAGACAAATTTGCCAGGAACAGTGTCAGAAATAAAGAGAATTTGTGATAAATGATAGCTCCTGGGGAACTGTCTACGTTCCCATTGAAACAGTGTTTGAGATAACCATGTACCACTGCTTGGTTTCAATTGGAAATGAGATGAAAGGGGACAGTGGGTATTGAAGCTCCAGTGCAACAATGGGAAACCCTCAGAACACCATAACCATTTTTGTGCCAGAAGGTGTCTGTCTGCAAACCCTTATCTAAGTGGATAAAGTCCACCTTAGGAGCAGACAGTAGCATTTTGAATCAGCACCAGGCTGAGCCAATAATCCCCAGGATGAGTACTGTTGGCTTTACACACTCAAAAAACCATGCAGGGACAGCCAGCTGTACAGTAAAGAATTGGGGAAGGACAGGTAGTGAAGCTTGGGATCTAAAGTTGTTTAAACAGAGTAGGGATATGAGGTGAGACCTGATGACCTTCCAGGTATTTACAGTCTTGACTTTCCCAGGCCCTCACACTGTAGAGCACTCTAGGGAATGGTTATAGCAGAAACAGAAACAGAAACTATGCTATTAGGTGATCTAATCCATGTTCATAAGGACAGATAGCACTGCGCCAAGTGTCATTTTATAGCTTCTAATTTTTAGAAATGTGTGTTTATGTAAGAGCGAGTGTTTATGGAGGCCAGGAAAGTTGAAAGGGGCCCAATAGAGCCTCTGGGTTTGGTATGGGGAGGGTGAAACAATACATATATTTTGGAAGTGAAAGAAGGAATAATGGACATTGGACAGCATAAGCTTGGATGCGGGCAACAAAATGGCAGACAGGTTATGTTTGGGCCAATAAAAAACACAAACTAAGAAAAAGTCTTAATTCTCAATAGAGGAATCTAAAATGGCTGAAAGACACATAAGAAAAGTATTCAACATCCTTAGCCATCACGGAAATGCAAATCAAACAACTCTGAGATACCATCTTACACCTGTCAGAATGGCTAAAATCAAAAACACCAATGCTGGAGAGGGTGTGGAGAAAGGCGTACACTCCTTTACTGTTGGTGGAGTGCCAACTTGTACAGCCACTTTGGAAATCCGTATGGTGACTCCTCAGGAAAATGGGAATCGGTCTACCAGAAGATCCAGCAATTCCACTCTTAGACATATACCCAAAAGAAGCACATTCCTACAACAAGGACATCTGTTCAACTATATTCATAGCACCATTATTTGTAATAGCCAGAACCTGGAAACAACGTGGATGCCCCTCAACTGAAGGATGGATAGAGAAAATGTGGTACATTTACACAATGGAGTACTGCTCAGCAGGTAAAAAGGCAATGGAATCTTGAAATTCGCAGGCAAATGGATGGAATTAGAAGAAACCATTCTGAGCGAAGTAACCCAGTCACAGAAAGACAGGCATTGTGTGTACTCACTCATTTGTGGATTTTAGACATATAGTGAAGGATTGCTAGCCTGCTGCCTATGCGGCTAGAGAGGCTGCTAAACAAGGAGGACCCTAAGAGATACATACATGGTCCCCTGTAGAAGGGGAAAGGGACAAGATCTCCTGAGCAAATAGGGAGCATGGGGGAGGGGAGAGGGAACTAGCAGAATGAGAAGAGAAGAGGAGGGGTGAGGAAGACATGATGGGGCAGGGAGGATGAGTTGTGGGAAGAACATAGGAGAGCAAGTTAAGAGATAATATAATAAAGGGAGACATTATAAGTTCAAAGAGATATCGGGCACTAGGGAAATGTCTGGAGAGCAACAAGGATGACACCAGCTAACAATCTAAGCAGCAGATTAGAGGCTCCCTTAAATGCCCTCTCCTGATAATGACAATGGTGACTAATTCATATGCCATCATATAGCCTTCATCTAGCAGCGGGTGGAGTAGAAGCAGACACCCACAGCTAAACCTTGAACTGAACTGAAATGCAGATGCAGGGAAGGAGGACTGATGAGCAAATGGCTCCAGAGCATGGTGGTGAAACCCACAGAGACAGCTGACCTGAACAGGGGAACACTCTTGGTCCCCAGACTGATAGCTGGAAAACCAGCATGGGACTGATCCAGACCCCCTGAATGAGGGTGTCAGTGAGGAGACCTTGGAAATCTATGGGGCCTCTTGTAGTGGATCAGTAATTATCGCTACCATAGGAATGGACTTTAGGAGCCCATCCCACATGGAGGGAGACTCCCTGAGCCTAGACAAGGGGGTTGGCCTAGGCCCTATCCCAAAGAATACAACAGACTTCGAAGACCCCCTATGGAAGGCCTCACCCTCCCTGGGGAGCAGAAAGAGTATGGGATGGGTAGGGCATTAGTTTCGGGGAGGGGGTTCAAGGAGGAGAGGCAGAGGGACCTGGGATTGACATATAAAATAATTTTGTCTCTAATAAAAAAAGGGTGGAAAAATCAAATGTCTTAAGGAAACTTGTTACTTTTTAAGGTAATAAAGCATAGGGGACAAAAAAACCCAAGTGAAACTAAATAATCATTGACATCGAATAAGGTGGAAAATACTGAAAATAACAAATTTCAGTGTGTTTGTGGACAAACTAGGGTTCCCATTCATGACAATATCTGCTAAAAATGTTTGAAAATGGGTTTCATTTGTTTAAGTTGAGCAAACATAACTCTACAAGCAGTATTCACATTGTTTACCATTTTTCCAAAAGTCTTTTTGATATTTTACTTTTCTGAGAAGCACATTATGTAATTACAGTTTAATTTGTGTTACAAACGTAAATAAATTTTATAGGCTATAGACCCATGTCTTAATTTTTTTTAAATTTGCAGCGTTTGGCCTTCTAAAAATTGTTTCCCTTGATATTTTTCATTTGCTTTATTATTGTTATTTTTATAATTTCCTTCATCTTTTTCATTCTAGTCTTTCTGGTGTGTGTGTGTGTGTGTGTGTGTGTGTGTGTGTGTGTGTTTAATGATACTTGAATGTACTCTATTTCATGGTTCACCATCTGTTAATTCGTAACCAATGAGGGGTTTCCTCCTGATGAAGCCTATAGTGTCCTGTGCTCACCAATACTTCCATGCTGTAGCTGTCACCCATCAACAAGAAACTTCTTTTCCAAAAGTAAGGAGACCTTACTGAAAAAAAGTGATCAAACCCCAGAAAACAAGTGATGGTGTGGTGCCAAGCACCAGATCATCTTTCTAAAGAGAAAGCCTGTACTCAAGACTCAGGGAACAGTGTGGCAGAGCAGGCAGAAAGAATGTCAGTGCCCAAAGAACAGATAACTGCTGTGAGATTCCATCTCATAGAAATCTCAGGGAAGCTACCCCCATAAAGTCTCAACGTGGCTGCTTAAATAAAGGACACCACCAGAAATGCTAACATGGAGGGGTGAATCTCACTGGGCCCCCATAAATCCCATTTGCAAGAATAATCGCACAACTCAATTCATTTTTTTTTTTTACATCATCCAGTAAGAGCGGTGATAGTTTCAACCTGCTGACCACCCAAAAATACCTGTTGGAACTCTACGTTCAATTAATGCATACTTACAAAATAGACCTTTGTATGACAGTTCTGCCTCGAGGAGATTCTGTAACATTGCTTCTGGGGGCTCACTGGTGGCTGCTATTGAACACTGGCATGAGTGTGCACTGAGCACACCATGCAGAAACCAAGCAACCAGGACCATGACCAGTTTGATGGTTCCATCAAATGCACAAAGGCAGTGGATGGAGATTTTGTAGTGCAGGAGAATTTGCCAAAACACACTGGAAAGAAAGAAATGGTACACCATTTGACATAAAACATTCAGCAGAACCACTTGGTCAGGATTACCTGAAGGTAGCTAAACATCTCCAAGAGGAAGCTCTAAACACCCAACAACACTTCCAGAAGTGTTCAAAAGATCTTGAACAAAAAT